GTATAAGGAAATAAATATCTAAGGAATAAAACACACGGGAGGCTGCTGTTGTGTGGAATTAATGCACGCAGGGGTGGTGTGATGCGGCACAACGTGAAGCGGAGTGCCGCTACCCCCTGAAGTGCATAATGTTTGTATAACTGCACTGTACTGTTTGTATATCTGGAGTGTTTTTATTATTATTATTATTATTGTTATTATAATATATATATATATATATATATATATATATATATATATATATATATATATATATATAAACCTTATTTTATATAGCACTTTTAAAAGTAGCTTCTCAAGGTGCTTTACATAAAAAAAAACACAATCATGTATAAATATAAGTCATAAGCATACATATCAAAACTGAAAGAATTAATTCAACAGTCAAGTAAAGGCTAACTAAAAACCTTTTATTATTCTGCTTACGCTGCAGCGATTTGCCGAAGACTACAATGTTTAATTTATTAATGAACAACACATCGCATGTCTTAACAATGTAGAGCTAGATTTAATGCTGTGTAACGTCCGAGAGACGAGTTAGTTCCTGTTCTCGCCTACGTTAGAGCTGCGAAAACAGTTGCTGCCTCACCAGCTTTTTTTTTCTCTCGCTCTCTCTTTCTCTTTTCTCTTTCAGTTCAGTTCATCAGTGCTTTAATGGCATGAATGTTAGAAATCACATTGTTGCCAAAGCAAATAGTGCAAGTAGATTAAACCAAAATTTATACAAAAACAAACGGACAAAAAACAAACAAACAAACAAAACATCTCTTTTTCTCTCTTTCTCTTTCTCTTCTCTCTTTCTCTCCCTCTCTCTCTCTCTCTCTCTTTCTCATTGTTTCCTCTGTCTCTCTCTCTTTCTCATTGTTTCCTCTCTCTCTATCTCTCATTCCCTCTCTCTTTCTCTTTCTCCTTCTCTCTCTCTCGCTCTCTCTTTCTCATTGTTTCCTCTCTCTTTCTCCTTTCTCCCTCTCTCTTTCTCTCTCTCTCTCTCTCTCTCTCTC